TAAAAATTATTTGTATTTATATTTTTCTAGATTTTTAATTTATTTTGGTTAACTGTACTACAGGTAGTACAAAAGGCGAAATGCTATCCATTAAAATATGAAAATTTGTTACTTGACTAGACAGAATAAAAACTTTTATAAAATAAATAAAATAATAATTTGATAATTTGTAAAAATGCAAATTATTTTGAATTTTTATATATAATTTTAAATAAATCCAATTTTATTTTATTTTGAAAAATTAAATACCCAAAAATGTAATAAATTAAAATATATTTGGTTAGCATATTCTTTCAATTTTTTTGATTTATTTCAAATTTTTTCAAATTATACTAAATTTAATAATCAAAATACTAAAATTTTATAGCTTAAACTATATTATTTATTTTATTTATAATTTTCAAATATTATATATAATAAAAGCTAACTAATCTTATATTAAAGAAATATATAAAAAATAAAAAATAAAACAGCAGTATTATTTATATATAAAAAAAATAAACAAAAAACTTTTACTCATTATTATCTATATCATTGTCATCATCATCTATATCTTTTTCTTTATCATTATCATTACCCAAGGATGAAGAACTAAAAGATATAGATTTAAAATTATTTTCTTCTGGTTCTTGTTCACCTTCTGTTTGTTTATCCATATTTATTTACACTAATTCAGATATATAAAATTATTTAATATTATTTAACAATTTCGAAATGTAACAAGTTATTTTAACTTATTTTTATATTCTTATATTATTTACTAACTCTTAACCTTTTATTTGTTAAAATAATTTATAAAGAGCATTATTTTATGGTAACCTGTTGCTATGATAACTCTGTGATCAACCAATCAAAATCGATCATGTATATTGCATAACTTTAAAAAATTTATTAAAAACAAAAAAAAACTACAACGATTATTACAAGCCTACCTACTTTAAATAAAGAACTAATTTAACAGCAAAAATCTAATATGAATATCCAACACCATAAAATCTACCAGCAAAATTCAATAACGATTTCACCATCAAAAACAACGACACCAATGACAAAGTTTTATCACCAAAAGCAATGACACCAACTATGAAACCTCTAACACCAACGATAATGAATCCAATAGCTCCAACAATAACAGCACCAACGATAATGACTCGGATACATAAAAAAGAGAAGTGCATTAGTAAGTATTAAAAAAAAAAAAAAAAAAACACAAAGAAAAAAAATAAAAAAAAAACAAAAAAAAAATAAAAGACAAAAAAGAAAAAACAAAGAAAAAAAGAACCGAAAGAGAAGCGAAAAAAAACAAAATAAAAAAAAGAAATAGAAAAAAAAACAAAAGAAACGAAAGAGAAAAAAATAATAAAACAAATAAAATGAAAGATAAAAAGAACAAATAAAAAAAGAAATGAAAAAAGAAAGACAAAACAAAAGAGAAAGACAAAACAACAAAGAAAGACAAAACAACAGAGAAAGAAAAACAATAAGAAAAGACAAAACAAAAAAGAAAAGAATAATAAAAGAAGAAAGAAAATGAAAAAAAAAGAAAAAAATGAACAAAATAAAGAAAAGATAAAAGAAAGAACTGAAGAAACAAAAAAAAACTCCCAAAAAGAAAACAAAGTAAAAAAAATAAAAGAAGAAAAAAAGTGAAAAACTGAAGAAAAATACCAAAAAAGAAGAAAAAAAATGAAAAAAGAGAGAAACTGAAGAAAAAAACAAAACAAAAATAAAAAAGAAAAAAGAAACGAATAAGAAAAATAAAAAAAAAAAAAAATCAGAAAAGCAATGAAAGAAATTAAAGAAAACGAAAAGAAAAAAAAAAAGAACAAAAAGAAAAAGAACAAAGCAAAAAATCAGTGAATAAAAAAACAATAAAAGAAATTGAAAAAAAAGAAACAATATAGAACTGAAAAAACAAAACGAAAAAAAAAATATAGAGAAATAAAAAAATGAAAAAGAAAAAAAAACCAAAGAAAAGAAAAAGACAAAAAGAAACAAAGAAAAAAAAAAGAATGAAAAAAATAAAAAATAAAGAAACAAAATAAAATGACAAAAAAAATGCGAAATTAAAATGAAGAAAGAAAAACAAAAACACAAAAGTGAAAAACAAAGAAAAGAAAAGATAAAAAAAAATGAAAAATAGAGAAAAGACAAAAAAATGAAAAAAAAATCAAAATCATATATCTGATCCTGAGATTAAATGCAACAACAAAAGCACAAAAAGCGAAAAACAAAGAAAAAAAAAAATGAAGAAAAACAGAAAAAAAGACAAAAAAGCAAAGGAAAAATTAAAATCATATACCCGATCCTGAAATTAAGCGCAACAACAAAAGTACAAACAAAAAAAAGAAAAAAAATAAAGAAAAACAGAGAAAAGACAAAAAAGCGAAAAAAAGAAAAAATCACATACCTAATCCTGAAATTAAGTGTGATAACAAAAGAACAGAAAGCAAAGAAAAGGTAAAAAAAAATAAAAAAAATAAAAAAGACAAAAAAGCAAAGAAAAATTAAAATTACATACCTGATCCCAAAATTAAGTAAAACAACAAAAGCACATCTTTACTAAAACTTGCAAAATTTGCAACTTCAATACTACTAGTAATTAACTTGTAATTAGCTATAAAGTAACTATATAGCTACTTTATAGTAGTTATAGTTTTACATTTACTTTAAGTTAGCAATATGCCTACTACTGCTTACTACTACGTTACTACTAGGTCCGGTTCGGGTCCGGTCCGGTCCGGGATCGAACCGGACTCGAACTCTAAATTTTCGTTCAAATTCAAACTCAAACTCAATTATGAGTTCGGTCCGGGTTCAGTCCGGTTCGGTCCGAAGTTTGCAAACTAGTTTGAGTCCGAATATACTAGTTTGCAATATTGACATCACGAATCTCTTTATACAGAATCATGGGATCTTACTCGCTTTAGAAATGACAAAAAAGTAAGTGGATTAGTTAGAATTAACGTTTGATAGGTCATTGATTTGTACCATTATTTACTGTAAAAAAAGGTCGTATGTAAAGAACTTATCTCCTATATAGATGACAAAAAGTAAGTGGATTAGTTAGAATTAACGTTCGATAGGGCATTGATTGGTACCATAAAAAAAAGTCGTATGTAAAGATCTTACTTGCTGTAGAAGCGACAAAAAAGTAAGTAGATTAGTTAGAATTAACGTTCGATAGGTCATTGATTTGTATCATTATGTCGTATGTAAAGAACTTACTGACTATACAGGCAAAAAAGTAAGTGGATTAGTTAGAATTAACGTTCGGTAGGGCATTGATTTGTGCCATTATTTACTGTAAAAAAAAAACGGTTTCGTTCATTTCACCGACACTCAATTCACCGATTTCTTGAACTCCCGAGAGTAGACTACACTTGTAAAAGCACCACGCTGACTTTTCAGTAAGCCCTCCTAACTTTCTAGTAATAACCTTGGATTAACGTGGCTCTGCTAATGACAAATTTGGAATGTAAATAAATATTTTATATCAAACATTATAATTTTATAATTCTTCAGCCAAATTCTTACCTGATTACGGTTAACAAACAGACAATATGCGTTGGAAACTTTCAATTGGTCAATAGCGTGACGGACATTTGTGTTTTAATATATAAAAAAAAAAAGATCATGTAACCGGGGTCCTAGTGGCAGTATACTTGGTTCTCGGACCAATCTTCCATGCTTTATTTCGAGTAGCCTTTGTTTTTTGGTTGTGTTTTTTTAACCATGAAATTCGGGTATCGTTATTCATAAGTACAGGAGTAGCTAGTTTATATGATTGTTATGCACTCCTTGAATATGTGCCAGGTTTTTGGCGCAGATTTCCTGAATTACGAATCAGATCTCAAGATTATATGTGAAGTAACACGACCAGAAAAATTTAAAACAAACGTTCGTTTTATCAAAAATCATTGATTTTCCGAAAACTTGCGTAAAAAACCACCTTTAGTGCTCTAACAAAAAGTTTTATTGCGCAATTTTACTACATACCCCTATATTGTCTAATATAGACGCTTAACCTTAACATATTTAATATAAACTTTAAAGAATTTGTCGGCGCCACAAGCCTGGCACACAATCAAGAATTACGATTGTTAGCAGAGTGATATCACGTGTTAATATACGCATTATGTATGCACATGAGTTGTATACACCAGCTTGTGATAATGTTATAGAAATGGAAATTTGATATATTTTTAGAAACGATTGACAAATTTTTCGCTATCGCTACACATGGTCTTCGTTTTATTCTTTGACAATCAGCGATTATCAATCCATCATGCCGGCAAGAAATTCGAAGAAAAAAATACAAAATATATTAAGAACATAGAAACACGTATATATCAATCCTGGTTGAAATCAGCATAAGACGTTAAATGATGCTTTTTTAACTATCGAATATTACTCGAATTGTAAACACTCATTGACTTACTTATTTAAATTACTAGTTTACTTACCGATAAAATTAACCCATTAATATTAAAAGCGCTAACCGATCTACTGTTGAATAATAAACTCGCTGTTCAAATCACTCACCTGATCTTGAAACCTGATTGGCCAGTGAAATTTTTTGGGTTGGGCTAAGCCACAAAAAAACCTATCGGACCGGACTCAAACTAGTTTGAAGTTTCGGACCGAACCCGGACTTAACTAAAAAATTTGAATATAAAAGTTTGAGTCCGGTTCGAAAATCAAACCGGACTCAAACTTGACTAAAGTCCGGTTCGAGTCCGGTCCGTAGGAGCACTAGTAGAGAGTGTGGTGCTTATTCACAATAGTATATAGTAAATATATTTTCTTTTGGTTTTTTAAATTAAGAAATAAGATCTAATTGTTTTTTAAGTATATAAATAATATATTTATAGTATCTTTATTTGTTAAATCATTGATTATATATTTCAAATTTATTAAAAATAGCTAAATGGTAACTTAGAGTATAATTTTTTTTAAAATTTAAGAAAATATATTTCTTATTATCTTATATTAGTAGACTGAATTAATAATGTTACAAAGAATGAAACGATTTAAAGAATTCTATATAATAGTAAATAAGTACACTTGATCCCGTTAATATCAACCTCCCATTAATATCAACCTCTTATTAGACAAAATAGACTTAGGATATATAAAAACTATTCTGATATTATCAACACTCGCATATATTAACATAATTGCTCAATCTAAATGGGTTAATATTAATGAGGATTCAAGTGTAATTATGTTTTTCATTTGTGAATCTGATTTTATTATTTTCTACTAATTAATGAACTCTCTTTTTATAGTTGAAAAGTATAGTGAAATGGTAAGTAAGTATTTATATTCTTGTTGATCTGGTTCTAAACATATTTATTAATAAATGATTTTTATTTTATCAAACTGAATGAGGATAATTAATATATAAGCGATTTAAAGAATATTATATAATGATAGATAAATATTTATTTTTTTATCTGTAACTTGATTTGATGATTTTTTACTAGAAAGTTAGGAGGGCTTA